AACGACAAAATACAAAAACTGAAGAAAGGTAAGAATTTTTGTGGGCGCTATCCTGACAAAGGGTACTGTGATACCCAAAAGCTTGTTTAACTCTACCTCAATGACACGTGGACAAAAAATCTTGCCTCTCCTATATTTCTCAAACTATCGCTGCTCCATCATCACACTAACACCACAAAAACTGAAGGAATGTTTATAATTCCTAAAGTTTTACTGTTAAAAAATAACTAATTTTTAAAGCAGTGAACCAAGATAATTTCTGATAGCTGTCTCCTTGAAGACAATGGTGTAGTAGCAGAGTCTAATTTGACTTAGTCCTAATAGAGATTGGACCTTGGACTTCCCAATATGTCAAAGCACAAGCTCAAAATGAGGGACACAAAGAAAGTACTCATGTGGGATACTTAAAACGCTGTGGGATTAATTCAGTGTAAATAACCAGGTCTATACCATTGGTAAATGGTTCTTTATATCTAATGTAAAGCATTTTCAGCATCAAAGTTCAGGGCCAAATTGTGTGAAACAGAGGGAACTTTGGCTCTAAAATGAATGCTGTTGCTCAAAAGAAGCAATATGTCAGAGATATGTATATGCTTTACATCTATGGTGGGAGTTTCAAAAGTGTTCAAGCCTGGCCTGACTGTTCCCATTCAAGTAAATGTGAGTATTTCTATCAATTCCAATGGCTGCAGAGTTAAGCCAATGAAAATCCTGTCCCCTAACTAGCAGCTGGGCCAAATCACACTCACTTTTCCATTAACATCATATTCACACCAATAATACCTTTAACATGCCAGGACAGGTTTACCACATTGTTTTCCTGCATGTGTTGCTCCATTGGTCCTGTTCTAAGATTTTGGAATTACACTGATCTACACCACCTGAAAATCTCTCTTTGCATTAAAAAAACTGAGGTCCTAGCACCTAATACACCTCTCATCATTTTTACCTCGGCACAAGGCCATTGTTTAAAATGGGTTTCCTCCTGATTTACCCCAGTGAAAGGGAAAACAGAGTCGGGCTCATGCAATTTAAGTGGCATGACTCTGTAGGGATGTATCTTGTGTTATAAGGGCAAGTTTGAGGATGCAGTTCTCTAGAATCGCAAGAATTGTGGCTGGTGGTGACAGGATGATAGATAGCCATTTATACTGCAGCACTTTCAATTATTCTTTTTAAACCCATTAAGGTAAATGTTCTACAATGGAAAAATAATGGTACATTTTTATTTTTAATGTTGCATAGCTGGAGTTTAGTAAAATTGCAATTGTAAAGACTTACAATGCATCCTGGAGTCTGTTAAATGAACTTTAGATGACAGTTTCCAGGAGTTGACAAAACTCCAATGGTGCTTTTAAAAAAATTCTAATGCAGAGACTGCCATCTACTGGCTGTTCACAATTCAGCTAGTTTCCCAGTGGCTCAACTATGACAAGCAGAAAGCAGCTACATTATACAGTTAAATATAAAAAGCAATTTTTTTAAAATAAATTTCATTGTAATGACCTGATGAAAAATGACTTGCATTTGAAAGCTTCTCTAACTCCATCCCAACGATGTAGCTGGTCCAATAAAAGATATCACCCTAAGAAACCCTTGCCTGTCTCTCCATTGTAATGGTTGTAATAAATACAATATGAATATAATAAAGTTCGTAAGAGCAGCTATAGGTCTCAGTGAAGGAAATTATTTCAGGCCTCCTTAAAAAGTACTTTAAAAAGTACTTAAAGTTATATGTATATTTAAGTGATTCCTTGAATACTAATAATTCCCTGAATTGAGGTAACAAGCTACAGGTGAGAAATAAAAATTAAAAAAACAACACGCTGCAACAGATTGCCTTCCGAGTTTGTATCTCATCTGGTGAAACAAATGTTTGTCAGCCAATCTACCAGTGGAAGTTTGCCCTCTGCTCTCTTTCTAATAAAATGCTTTTAGAAAGTCATCTATTATCATGTGTGTGGAGAGGAGGGTAATCTAATTAAACTCTCCCCGGAGTGCAGTGAAAATGAATACACCAGAGTTCTACTGAAACTGGAATGCACCTGCACACAAAGCTTTTCACATCAGGAAAAATGCAGTCAGCAAGATAAAAAGGAAAGCATAAGATACATAATCGAAAAGCAGTATTCCTATCTACAGTATGGATTGTGCAGAGAATCAACACAAAGTAACAATCCCCTACATAGAAGATATCTCCTAAAGGATTTCTTGGGAAATATCGTTTTGGGCCAAGCTGGCCAGTGGACTCTGGTTATGCAAAGAAATTGTAAAGTAATTATAAATGACCAACTAAGCCAAGTTTATTCAGCTGCTTTATATCACCAGAATAGCTTAAGGCTTGAGCTATGATAAACTATCCCTAGCACAAATGGTTGTTTCTCTTTTAATTTGCTTTACAATAATTTTCTAATACTTTAAGAATATAGCAGTGTTTGGGGAAGTTTGATCTTTTGAATAAGAACGTTAGTTAGTGATCTGGAGGGACAAGATGCCTCAGCAGTTCAACCTTGGCAGAAATGTTAGAGGGGTAATAAGAGAAGGGAGACTTTGATCATGAGTTTCTGCTGGGTCAGTTCTGGCTATTCCACATTACTCTAGTTTTTCAAAGCATCCATAAATGCAAGTTGCCAGCTTGTTAAACTGAGTCTACAATTGCTTTGCATCAAGCACAAAGCAGCAGGAGTGGATTTGTGTATCTGGGTCAATATTTACACAACTTATATCTAAATGACCATCATGCTTTGCATTTGTAAAGGTCTGTTCACTAGCAGATCTGAAAATAGGTTCAAAAGGAGAGTAAACCTTATTATTCATACTACACAGATTGGGTTACAGGTCATATGACAGAATAATGGTATCAGCAGAAACAAAACCCTAGGTCTACACAAAGCACCAACTGGTCTCCTTGGTTAACTGGCACCCCTGAAATCACACAGTGGCCAAAAGTGATGGCCTCTGACCAAAAGCATAAAACCCTTTAGCATGTTCAACAGTCAGTCTCAGTTTCCAGTTGATTATTAAGGAGGCAAATAAACCTTCATTAACATTTAGGTTTTCTGCTTTCTCTTTTCATAACCAAAAACATTGTCATTTTATTAAAATCCCATCCCCCACCCCCATAAGTCAGCATCTGGGGCTGCTGTCCCATTTACCCGGCCTTTGTTACGCTACTATGCCACAACAGAGCTATGCGCTGGCTAGATTCACATATGACAGTGGACATGCATACCTGAGCATATATCCTGAAAAAAATGACAGGGGAGAAGAGAAAGGCCTTCCCATCTTTTAACTCCACGAGCTGAGTTATTAGGACACACATACAGGCTACACACTTTCAAAGTACCTCTCTCCTCACACCCCCCATACTGAAATAAGGTACATGTAACGGGGAGCCAAGCAAGGCCCCTGTAATTTTCAGAGGGAGAACAGATGCTCGAGCTGTGTTCTGGTGATTGATGGCAGCTGAGCATAGGCCAGCTATCAAGCGAGCAACTCAGCTGTGCAAGCTGTAGCAAAGGGAAGAAGGCAGCTCACTGAGCTAAAGGAGGACACTTGCGTTCAGTAAGAGAGCTAAGGAGAGCCATGTGACTGGGGGGACAAGCTCCACGAGATAAAAGCTCATCCTGGAGCCAGTGTGATATCACCACTCGGTTCTGATCCTCTGATGAAGAGGAGGTTCTACTGGTAGCGTAGAGCAGCACTTGTACTGCTAACAGACCTAAGGCTGGTGGGGGCGGTACAACCTTACATCATAAACTGATGGGTTTATGTTGGTCTTTTGTGTTTAAGTTACAAAGGGACTGGCCTGTGGCTGGAGGAGCAGTATGGAGGTCACAATGGGAGTGCCTGAGGCCTGAGACACTTTGCAAGGGGCCGGGGCCCAAAGAGCAGAAAGGGCTGACACCTGAGCCAGGCAGGACTGAGACTAGGATCAGCATGCCAAGGTGATAAGGGCCTGGAGGGTCACGATCAGACACGTTTGGGTACTGGCAGGGCACAAGTAGTGTAAGGCAACAAACAGAGTAACTCTGTCAGTGGATGGGGATGGTGGTGATGAGACAGACTGAAGGCCCAGCAAAGTTAGAGAAGTGACACTATGGGCAGCACCAGCAGGATCACTCCAGACTCGAGAGCTGTATGTGCTGTAACAGTTACCTCAAGGCATGGCAGGAAGGAGAGTGAAAGGGAGTATGCTGGAGTGAGGGACAAAATTCATTCAGACAATAGGGTGTGCCACAGCTGCCCTCAGGACCTGTCCTGTCACAGTATAAAACTGTGTCTCTGACTTCAGCACAGTGCTCTAATCACAACACCACAGGTCAGGCATTACACCGATGCCTCTCTAGCCCTCCTGTCTGAACCACCCTCTGCCAAAAAGAATGGGAGAAACTAGGTAACAACACTGTTGAATGGAGTCAGCGAGGAATTACCCCCAGTGAGGAGTTAGCATCTGACTCCAACTACAAGTGGCACATGCAATCTGAACAGATTGAGAGTGGGTCTCGGCAGATGCAACTTTCTCATGAAATCACAGGGCCTCTACACAACTGAACAATATGTTTGTCAGGAGAAGCAAACCATGAATTATTTCCTGAGATGCCCTGTGGCACCACAATGCACCCCACAGTCTGGCAACACCAACACCAGAAGCAGTGGCCTGTGCAGAGTACTGGGAGCAGACCATATAGAAAGGTTGGACTAGATGTACAACAAAGAAGAAGACTCCTGTCTAAACTGTACCACTACTCTTGTATTTAATTGTCTTTGGTTAAAATGGCTGGAGAGCAGTGCAGTGGAGAATCTTCTATCCTAGAGGAAGGCAGATGCTACAACCCTCCTGCAGCAGCATGGGGAGAGAACCCACAGCTGAAGACCCATGGCTGTGGACCGTGCCTGGCCCATGTTGATGACCCCTATTGTATCCTATGGGAAGCTAGGCTAGAACCAAAGCAGCCTCTCGTGTCCTCTAACTTGCTGTTGTCTTCCTGGCTTCACAGATCTCCCTTTCCTGCCTCCCAGCTCCAGAAGGCCTCTCATCTATGAAGACGTTTGGCAGTGTTTGCTAGACATTTAAAGCTGGTGATGAAACAGGAATCATTGGAAATCGGAAAGAAAGATGTTGCTCAGCTGTGGGAGTGAAGAGGAAGTTGAAATGTATTTGACATAGCAGTTCACCATGAACTGAAAAAGAGTCAGCACTGAGGGACTGTGCACAATGGATACTATTGAGATGGACTGTGCTAACCTAGCCTTGTGGTAAGTTCCCACACCATGGATTTGGGAGTATCTGAAAGACTGAAGAGTCTGGGAGGTAGGATACTCACCAGTGGTAGCACCACACAGACTTGAACAATTGAGCTCTTCTCAGACAACAGAGTTCAGAAATGATTTGGCTGATCTGGCCTGAGACACAACATTAAGTATACTCAGTGTGAACTGCATTCAACTCCATAGTTAGTTTCCATCACTGAGCACAGGATGCTTCTGGCAGCAGTTTAATGGTGGGCAGTGTATTTAATGAGGAGGTTTTCCTATATGCAAATACATGCTGATTGGGGGAAAAAACTTTGTCTTATATATGAGTAAATATGGTGGGGGGGGGGGGGAGATATAGGGGGAAGTGGGGGCTGGCCACCCCAGGGGCCTTTCAGTGCTATATTTATACTGCCATTACTATACTTATTCAGACTCCAGTGCTAATAATTCAGTAGTTTGTTAAAGTACTGAAATACACTTAAAATGATGACTTACACAAAAAATAGTCATTCACTACACAATGTGCGATTCAATGTATTTTCATATTTAGAACAGTAAAATCAGAAAAATCCAGAACACATCCCTACTAAGGCCTGGACCTGGATTCTGCTCCACCCAGTCTAAATTCCCACAAAGAATAGGACCATCATACAAATATCTACATTTATAGCTCTTCACATGGAATGGTATCATTTTGGGTCCCTTGCTTAATTCTAATGTTATGAAAGCCTAAGTCTGTCTGTCTGTCTATCCGTAATGCTTTATTCGCCCTCTGATTAGCTGACAGAAACATTCTTGATGGGCAATTGGCTAGTAATAATTATAATAATGTAAGTTACACTGAATGGCATTCTATTTGTAAAGGATTCAATTTGAACAGTCAGTTTTAATCCACAGTAAGGGCCTAATCCTGCCAACTAATCGGGCCTCACTGACTTGACTGACTTCCTGTTCTACAAAGGAACTTCAGTGGACCAACTCACATGCATAGAGTTACTGACAGTCTTCCACTGGAGGAGGGGTCTTTAATGCATTGAATCTGGTAGCAGGAGCCCTTTCAACAAAACACTTAAATATATGCTTCATTTCAGCAGGTTTTTAAGTAATTTTTACTCTAATGAGACTTAAGCATGAACTTACATGTTCTGTGAAACTGCTTTCTCTATCAGGATCTGTTAAATAGCAAAGAAGTTTTAGGTGTAATTCAAGGCTACCACCATTTATTTTCCAAATGTCCCAGTAACTTTGATTCAAGTAACATGAATCAAAATGTGGCCTTTAACTTTTTAGTTCCTGGGTTCTATGGACTGAATACTGAAATCTTTTGCGTATCCACAGAACAGTTCCAGAATCAATGGAAGCATTTTCCATCACCACTGTGCTCTAAACCTATCCTAGAAAAAGTGCCAACAAAGATCACAAGATAACACAGTTCACTGTTCTCAAAGCCTACTGGGGCCCATGGGAATCAGGCCGTTGACTTGAAAAGCCTTTGGATAAGTCCTATACCCTTAGCTTCTCTTCAAACTGCCAGCTAATCTTCAAACTGCCAGCTTCTCTAATGACAAACACCAGGCCCACTTCTAATTCACTTATTCCTAAATCACTCCCTTTAATGTAAGCTTTAAGCTAAGGGGGAAAACCCCATCTTGAAGAGCACTAACTGCAAAAGGAAACTGTGTAGCTGTGCCGCTTGTCAGGAAACAGGAGGCTAGCATCAGTTCACTCTCTTTGCTTTTCTTACTTCACATTCCCTCAGCTTGTGAATCCTCACTTCATCAGACTACAAGAAGGAAAGGGCAGCCCCTCTCCTCCTTTCTCAGACAGAAGGAAACTAGCTTCAGCAACCGGTACTTCTCTGCATGACACACAACTCTGACCTGGCCTCAGCACTATTATTCTGCCCAGCCTATGTATACATGGTGCACAGAAACCGGTTGAAATGTAAACATCATAATAACCCAAAAGTGCTGACCATGATACTGTTCTAAACCTAACTAAACAGTTCAGCTTGACAAAATAATCTTCTCTCTCACAGGTGAGACATTGTCACAAGTTGTTTTCAGAAACCAGAAATCTCAACTATAAAATATATTTTGAGAAATACACTGCCTCACTTACATGCTGTATGCTTAAACTGTCAGGTTAATAAAAATAGTAGCATGCACATTAATGCATACTGCATATAAATATTAATAATTTAATATTTTAAAATGTTGGTTGCAATGTTAATAACTATAACAATATCATTATAATTAATTAATATGCCTGTGATAATATTACTAAAATATAACAATATTGCTAAAATTAAATGAATGATAATTATACATTAAAATGTTAAGTTTCCTCCTCACCCTTACATTCACATATTGCATATACAAAAATAAATTGAATGAAACTTCTTGCATGCCTATGGCCACACCATGCATACAAAGAAAAATGATATCAACATGTATTCACACACGCGCTGTTTGCATAAGAATGAATTATTAATAACATTATGAATATGTATCAGCATGCAAGTATTCACACACATTATACCTACAAGGAAAAATGGTAAGTTATAAGCCTTCCAAAAGATTATCGCTTTCAAAAATTGTGTGTACTAACTGGGGCATACAGAACAGCCAGTGAAATTCTCTGTAGCCCAGTGACCAAAGTCATGACAGTCTGGGTCCTGGCAGGTGGAATTAGAAAGCAGAAGTAAACAAATAGTATAGTAAAGTGCAATTGCAGGAGATGTCATCCTGATGTGTATCAGCTGAAATGAAACATGACAGCCATGCACTGACCGAAAAACTTGGAAAGCTTGTTCTGCCTCATAAGTTGTAAGAGTACAAAGGGCACTCAAATTATAGCTTTGGGATGATGGAGGTAATGCGTAAACTTTACTGGGCCATTGCCAGGTCATAATGTTTATGCTAGGTTTGAAGATGACTTCATACTTTACTGGACCCTTTACATCTCATAAAGATGCACAGAAAGGTAGCATACAGGCAGAAGGCAGGGCAGGGTGGTACCTTAAGCCAGGTACAGACATTACACTTTTACCACTGTAAGTGATTGGAAACTGGTTTATTCCTGTAACAGAACAGAAGTATGACACACATAGACTAGTTTAAAAATGGTAGAACCTGGTCTAAGTTTTGTCCCCACACTAAAGGGCAAATGTGTATTCCTACCGTTAGATAAGCTTTTGTAGGCATCAACCTATTTTGTCAGATGTTATGATATAGAAAGAAAATGTCTCCAATAGAAAATATAAGAGGAAAAATGTTAACCGCATTGCTAAATCTATAGCTCTTGGGCCATATGTGCAGAATTCCAGCTCCTGCTTCCCAGCCCACCTTCTGGAAGCACAGCTGACTCTGTATCAAATGGTAGCTCAGCTGCAGATGTTCCAAATCCCTTTTTCCAAGGGGGATAGAAGCAGGAGTCAATCCTACTCTGAGGAATTTCCTTCCAATAGATTTTCCACTGGAAAATGTGCATGTATTGGATAGTGGCATAAAGAACAGCTTCTTCACAAAGCACTCCCCTCTCTGAGGTAGGAAGTCCTGTGGACCCACAGCAGAGTTTCCAGCCATCCTCGCAGAGTTCTGGATTCTACCCTTCTTACTTAATGTTGAATAGCACCGGACTCCAAAAATAGTCCTCTGAAAATCAGTGGAGCTTCTTGCATATCAGTGCAGTATTCAGTGTTAGTAACAGTAGCAGAAGCAAGCCCAGAGGAAAGATGCTTCATAGATTTAAACTTCTATGTTGACTTGTCAAATATACCAGTATTTATGCTGAATTTCATCTCCTCTTTGCCTGGATGTGGACAGAACCATGTGGATCTGAGAATATGGATGAAAACATACTGAGGGTCTAAGGCTATAAGTAAGCAAAATGAGCCTACTAAAGCAAAATAGTTAACGCTCAGCTTCAGGAAAAGCTGAAAGTACTGGAAACCTGAGAGCTAATGAAACTATGTGAAAAAATCCTGGTATCATAACAAATAAATATGCATGGGTTTTCTTGGCACAGAGAAGAGAAGAATTATGGAGAGTTATCAAAGAAACAGTGATGGATGTTTGTGGACTGAAAAACAATGGAGAACTAATCTTTTCCGCATCAATAATAAAGACCTTTTATTCCATGCTACTACCTGAGCAGATCAATAGAGGTTACAAATGTTCAGAATAAGGCAATATATTCCTGGCTTAGTTCACTATTTAAAATGCCAAAGGTTTGGGCACAGAGCCAGGTTTAATAAAAATGAAATAGTACCTGTGCTGTGAGTAAATCACTCTTTTGGATTTTCAGATAGATTTATACAGCTTTAGTAGTTACAATAAGGACCACCTTCAGCATCTGACTCACCACTCTGGGACTCCACTTTTCACTAGTTTAGGTCTACCAGATTCAAACCCAAGATCTGTAAAGGAAATCTAAAGTGTAGCGGTCATTATCACAATTTATTATTGTTTATTATCATTTATTGTGATTGTCATGCCTCTATCCTTCCATTATAAACAAAGTCTTCTTCTACTAGGCACATTGTTATCAAGTTTTGATATTTTATTATGAGTCTTGCAATATTTGCTGCTTTTATTAGACTCCTATTCCCACACTCATGTGATTATACAAGAATCTCAGGGTTTTTTTAAATAAGAAAAGTCAGTCTCTAGCCCCTCTGAGTCATATTGCTGAGAAAAGCTTAATCAAAGACCTGACCAAAAAGGGTCTAATCCCAAAAGACAGAGTACACATTTGTTTAAATCATATAATTTTTAAACAAATATTATAAATTTGGTGTCCTGATTCATGACTTTTGAAAACTTGGGATTGGCAATACTGCAAACACTGAGGCAGGGTCTGGCCTAAGGGGCTTACAGTTTCTGCATAGGTAGTTAAAAAGTTAATGCATTTCAATATTACCTGTTGTCTGATAGATCTTGGGACAAGATAGTTAAAGTTGCAGGAGCATGAACAAAATAATGGTAGCAGAGACTAATATGGGAAAAAAACAAACCAGTAGCACACATCTGCCTCCATGATTTAATACCTTTCTTTTCTGGATTTATTGCAAAGGTCATTAACTTCTGTGCTCAACTACAAAAAGTAATGAGACAATTAAGGGAAAAAACTGTGACCGGAAGGAGACAGCTTAGCTCCTTTTGTAACTTACAGCTTGTAACTCAATTGTTGTTATCACCACTGTTTTGTATTCAAAGGAACCTCATTTATAGGATTTTGGGTTTGTTAATACAACAGAATGGAAGGTTGTACTAGTTAATGCACAGCTAATGACAGTGCTTGAAATAGGCCCTGAAATGTGTCCCATCATTTAAGACTGGTGTTGTAGTTACAATTGGATCAGATTTCATTCCACTTATCAGAGCTGGCCCATAATTTTTGGAGCCCCTGCAAGATGCAATTTTTGTGCCCCCTGATGCGAAGAAGCCAGCAGCAGTGGCAATAGCAGGGGGAGGGGAGGAAGGGTGGGTAGCGAGCAGCTGGACATGAAGCCGGCAGCAGCAACGCAGACTGGTGGGAACCGTGTCTCCCTCCCCTGCCCCACCACTACGGCACTGATTTCGAGGGTTCACAGTCGCAGGGGACCCCTTGGCTGCGGGGCCCCTTCGGCCACAGGTTCCACAGGATAGGGCAGGCCGGCCCTGCCATTTATTAGGCATGTGTATGGACTTGGACACCTAAGTGTGATCCATTTCTATGTTGCTCAAGTCCCTGAAAAACTGTTAATACAAAAGATGGGTGGGTTCTTTTCCTCCTTGCTGCTTTTATGTGACTCAGTCATGAGGGTCAGATGACTGTGCTACAAAAGCAGATGCAGTAATGGATTTTCAGGGAGTTGAACAGGGTAGAATAAAATGACACTTATATAGCTAAGTCCACACATGAGTCTAATAGGTTGAATAGAATCTGACCTTTGTCTCTCATCTTCCAGATGATGGTCATGATGGGCATGATGTTTGGAAATAATGGTGCAGTGCAGACCACTGTTTATGTGGCATGTTAAAGCTTGGAAGTACCTTTGCAGGACCATCCATCAGGTATTTGGAACACTAACGTTATCTCTCAATCATTTCAGGTATGCCTCAGGATTGAATCATGATACTTTAAGAACAGACCCCAGATCTCAAAATGGAGCTATTAACTTTCAAGTTGAGGCAAGGAGCTATTTAGTGATAGCTGGGATTCTTGCTTCATAGTTTCCTATGTTTGAGTAGACAATGACTATCAGCTGCTACTGCCTTTTTTGGAACCATCAGCTGTGCACCACTGAGTAGATTTGCCAACCATGCAAGCCCCAAATTCCCATTGGTCCCAAAATCTTCAGTAATTCAAGGTACTGGTAAATGTCTTCTTCGCCAGTAGCACCTCTGCATTTAGCGGCTATAAGGCCTTTTTTAATTTCCTCTGTGATGTATGGGGATGATAGTGGTAAAATAGTGGGGCACTGTCAAATGTTTAAGAAGTTATTTCTGGACCTTACATCTAGTCACCTTGTCGGTTTTGGTGTTCAAGTTATAAAGAAGATGACTGGTGACAGCAATGGCCATCTTTCAGTTAACAGGTTTTTACTGGGTCAGCAGCTCCAAGCTTATGGTGGAATGCCTGGGCTTTGTGACTGAAGTAAGTGAAGTCAAGACCTGTCGCTGTCTCATTCCATCTCTTCAAGCTGGCAGAGTTCAATAACTCTGTTAATTCTTCTGCTGTGTCCGGATCACCATTCTTCCTATGCTCTTTCAATAATGCTTCTGTCTCCAGATGCTAGCAAGTACAGACCCCATGACAGACATGGGTATGTTCATTTTGTCCACTTTTTATCAGAGAATAAACAAGCAGCTGCAGTTTTAGATTAGTTTGGTACAGAGGATCCATCTTCACTGTCTGTGAACTCAGATGAATTTGCAGAAATTCCAGCACAGTTTTGGCATCGAACTGATCAGGATTTCAAAACCAATGTTTAAAGTGTTGGTGTTGGGGCACTTTAGGTGCAAAGAAAGTCTCCAAGCATTGTTCAGGTCCTTAGCAGAGGAGCACATGTTCTTGTTCTGCAGACAGCAGAGATCTGGGTTTTCTCCAGTGTTCCATTTGAAAAAAAAAATCGCTGGCTGTTTAGGGTCAAAAAGTAGGTGGGCATCAACAAAGGAGACTTAATCTCTCCATTTCTCACCAGTTGCCCCATTTCTGATATAACCACATTTTAAGAGGTGACTGTTAAATTAATTAAAACACACCCCTCAGTGGGGAAAAGATGTGGGATTTAGAAGTTTGTAGACTTTCATTATGGTCAGTTGTATTTCTTTATTGCAATAATAGAGATTCACAAGGTTTTGGATTTCTCTAAAACTGAGACATCTTGAAGACCAAACCTAATGTACATGGAAAACTAGTACTTTGCTTTGTTCATGGCAGCAGTGATTTCATTGCCATTAATTTTGTATCTTACTGACCACTGACAATCTGAAACATGAATTTATTGTAGAGTGAAATGTCAATATTATTCACCATATTATTTAGAACTGTTGAAAAGAAGTCATGCTTAGCATGTGGACTAGCATCTGATAGACCTTCCACGTGAAGATTGTACACATGCAGGTCTAATGGTATAGCTCTTCAATATTGTCCCAGGCAAGCACTCATATTGCTAATGATACCAGAAGATCAAAAACCAAATGCTTTTTGTCAATATTTGTTGCATTAGTGGTGCATGACAGGTGTACCATGTGAAGGTTGTCATCTTACCCTCAGTGTAAAAAGTGTGCTTGACAGCTTTCATCCTTGGGAGCAGTGGGAATGCAGTATAGGCAAACCATAAGTGAAATCTGCTTTAATTATTCATATGCATTACTCTTGGAATAAGATGGCCATAAAAGTACACAAGACAATCCCTTCTTATTGGAATCTGAACCTAACACTACACAACCTCAAGAACTGATTAGAATGGGTTGAAATTACTCTCATGACACATTTTTTCCAGTAAATCTGATTTGAAAGAATCAAAATGTTCTGCAGTACTATATTGATTTCACTAAAATTCTTGACAAAATCTTTTCAGACAATTCATTTTATAATGTTGAACCATTCTACCTTCTCCTTATTGTTTCAAGATTTATGTTTAACATAAGGCAACATAAATGTCAAAATGTTTAAAATATTATGATATTTATGTCATGTTTTATAATGTTAATTCAAAATTTTGGCACTTCCCATGGAACAAGAATCCCGCATTCCAAACAGCTTTAGAACTGATTCACCCCAAGGCGGAGAGCAAACCCATCTGGCACTATCACAGTTCTCTCTGTTTGGAAACTGCCTCTGCCGGGAACTTTACATAAATAAAACTCATAACACTCAGTACATCTTCCCCAGACTGAACATTTGGTCACACACTAAGAACAAATAGAAAGCTGATGGGTTATAAGTCTGCCTGGCAATACCTGCCATAACTACAAGTTTTGGATAGCTATAAAATTCTGCTGACACAGCATAACTCTCAGTTACTTCAGCTGCAACAAGAGTTTGCTGCTCTCTTTTGGATAATCCCATTTCCCTCTAATAGCTGTTGAACTTCAAAGTGCTAAGCATCTGTTATAAGGTTGAGCACTGCTGGTTTCCAGTGTTTTCAGTACAAGTTGAGCGTACACCACATGTTTAGCACCTTGCTGGATAAGATCTCAGCTTTCTAAACACAGATAATTTGTGGAACAATCCAGTGGTATACTAGAGTGTGAAGATATAATTAATGTTCATATCAGTAGCTCAGCCGTGCTGCTATGAAGCCAATGGCAAAGCTCCTAATGATCAGGGATCCAGATTTTCCGTTTCCCATGGGAAAACAGAGTAAAATGTGGATTTCCCCCTTTACCAGAGTAAAACAAGGATTTCTCATTTTATTAGAGAAACCCATGGATTTTGTGGTTTTGCAATGAACCCTCTGTAGGCTGGCTGAGTTCCAGCCTGCAAGGGACTGGGTGGGAGAAGGGGGTCAGGCAGGGAGCGCCATGCGCATGTACATTCACATGTGTGCCAGGAAGCCTGGAGAGCAGCTCTCACAGGTAAGGGCGGGGAGGGGGAGAGATTAAGGCCCCCATAGGGAAGGAGAGAGGGAGTTGGGCAGAGCTGGGGCTGGGGCTGCTGTCCAGCTGGGCAGTGTGTGGGGCTTAGGGCCCAAGACCACAATGCATGGCTTCAGGGCCCTGGCAGGGAGTGGGATGGGGATACAGGTGGCATATACAGGAGGTAGAGGGGGTTGGGGCCAGCTCCCTACTGCTGCAAGCACTCCCAGGGAGGCAAGGGGGACTGTGCCCCCCAGATCTGTGCACAGGGTGGGGGTGGGGCGGGCTGCCCACTGCAGGCTCAGCTCCCACCCTGCTGCCCTCCCCCAGGGCCTCTGCAGCCAGTAGGTGCAACCCAGTGCTGCAGGGAACAGCAGGAAAGTTCATAGTTTCATAGATGTTAGGGTCGGAAGGGACCTATTAGATCATTGAGTCCAGCCCCCTGCCCTGGGCAGGAATGAGTGCTAGGGTCAGATGACCCCAGCCAGGTGTCTGTCCAATCTCCTTTTAAACACCTCCAAGGAAGGGGACAGCACCACCTCACTTGGAAGCTTATTCCATATTTTGGCAACCCTCACTGTAAATAATTTTTTCCTGATGTCCAATCTGAATTTGCTCTCTTCCAGTTTGTGGCCATTATTTCTAGTTACCCCGACAGGCACCATGGTCAACATTGTATCCCCTATTTCTTGCTGCCCCCATGATGAATTTGTAGGCAGCCACGCGATCACCTTTTAACCTCCTCTTGTGGAGGCTGAAGAGGTTCAGGTCTCCCAATCAGTCCACTTAGGGTTTTTTTCTGTAGGCCTTTAACCAGACGAGTGGCCCTCCTCTGAACCCTCATTCCTTGCTGCTGTGAACTCCATGCTGCCCTGACAAGGCATCCCCTGCACATTGATCTTTAGCAGGTGTAGCAGCATGGAGCTGTGCCCCTCACTGCAGCTGTGTGCATGGGGGCGCATTGCCAGGATGGTGCAGAGCTTGCAGCAGCAAACAGCCTTCCTGCACAGCCCCACTGTTTCCTGAACCACCCGGTCATACCTGCTAGGCCAGGGATGGGCAAAATATAGCCCGCGGGCTGGATGCGGCCCACAAGGCCCTTCTATCCAGCCTGTGGGGCCCCTCAAAAATTTAGAAAATTAATATTGATCTGTCCTTGGTTCCTGTAAAAAATTACAGGAACCAGGGGCAGTAGAACCCAGGGGAAGCTGAGCAGACTCCCGCAACAGCAGGGCCCGCCTGGCCCCACCCCCCCATACAGAAGTCCCAGCAGGGGCTTCTGGCCTGAGACTATGTGGCTGCACCGGCACCAGAACCTCAGGTAAGGGGGGGGGCAGGACCCTGGGCAGGGAAGGAGCCCAGGGAAAAGCAGCCCAGGAAAAAGCTGAGCACAGGGAAAAGCAGCTCCTTGTCTGCCCCCTGGCCCATGCTCGCTGCTGCAGCCACTTGCAGCCCACGTGGGGCTGTCCTGAGCAGGCACAGACAGCCCCACAGCTAGTGGCTGCAGCACAGGGCACCAGCTATGGGGCAGGTGAGGGGCTGCTTTTCCCTGAGCTCAGCACCAGTTTGTACACCACCCCCTCTGCCAGCCTGGGCCCTGTGCCAGCTCCGGGCTCACCCAACGGGACTGCACTGCAGCAGGAGCAGCTGCGGCCCCCCGGCTTGCTGTTCTGGGCAGTGTTTGCTGCTCCTGCCCTCCTGGAGCTCATGCACTGGGCAGCCCAGAGGCAGTGGTGGCAAACGCTGCCCAGCACAGCAAGCGTGGGGGCTGCAGCTGCTGCCTCTCTTGGCACAGCCCTGATGGGTGAGCCCGGAGCTAGCACGGGCCCAGGCTGGCAGCGGGGGCGGGTTACAAGCTGGTGCTGAGCATGAGGTGGGGGAAGTGGCCCCTTGCCTGCCCCATTGCCAGCGTCCCGTGCTGCAGCCGCTCACAGCCCACCTGGGGCTGCCTGTGCCTGCTCAGGACAGCCCCACATGGGCTGCGAGCA